TATAGATGATCTTACAAACGTTTATCCATCGAAACCATTTCACTGTACAAATGCACATTTAAAATCCTTCGCCTTTCCAATGTACTAGTCGCGTGTGTATATAATACTTTTCGGGCTATTTAAGAGACCCAAAGGCGGTGCATATTCCTATACATGCATCAAGTTTGACGCTTCGTGTTTGTCAACGCTTGGGACACAGTTAGTTATGGTGCGCATTCAATTCGGTTGCCGAAGCCATATTGTTGATGGGAAGTGCTAAAAACTGTGTCTTCAATAGCTCTAAGCCTTTCAGTGACGGTAAACACCAACGATGATCGCGCACATAAAGATTTGAAAAACAATTTCGTTTTGAACATAATTAAATTAGCTTGAAAATTTGAATATTTGCGAAGTTACTGTATAAATTGCGTAATAAGGCTTATTATATAAGTCGGCTTTAATTAATATAACGGAGCGCTCGCACATCATCTTAAAGTATTTTCTAAACAACTATCAGCTAAATGTGAACTGACTGTTGGCATGGCCAACGAAGTCCCGGAATACATACCGACTGTTGTATTCACCGTCAGAGCATCCAAGCAATAAAATCTCGACGAGTATGACGAGGTAAAGTTTCAGCAGCAGCACCACGCTCGTCGTCTAAACCATTAAAGCATCAACAGCCGAAGCCCTAAGAAGAATAGGGAGCATGATAAAGCGTTTTAATCATTGAAGCAGTCTTGTATCTTGCGAGAAAAAAGGTATTATAAATTAGATTTGGCGCCTTACTACTCTTTTATCTACTAGTGCACCAGCGACTAAATATCAATTGCGTCACCATCCATTTGCCGTATCGCAACGGTGAATGCTCTCGCTTTGCCGAACTTGACCCAAGACATAGCCTTGATTTACTAGCACCATTCGAAATGTGATGCTCTTTCCGCAAATCCGTCCCACTCTTAAAGTCGCCCTTGATACAGTTTTCTTTGCATCGAACTGCATTTATCCCAGCTTTCGCTCTCGGAAACCCATTGAATGGGTTCCAGATGACTTCCCATAGCACTTGTCCACATAATATTCCTTTGGCATATTTGCTGGTGCTCTGATCAACTTTTTAATATGATATGACGCTCTTTTCCAAACATACATTTCCTTACTTTCCTTACTGCTTTAAGCTTTAGTAATTATGTTACCAACATTAGTAATACTGTACTTTAATTCATAATCCTACTATTCTTTGAATAGTTCAATGGTTGCTATTGAAAGCTCACGCAAGAATCGCAGCGCACACAGATACGTCGTCGCGCTTGCCCTGCTTCTTGTGCGCAAAAGCGAGCAAATTTGACGCACTGTAGAAAGCCAGCTGTCGGACACGTCGCTCCTTAGCAAAGATTGCACGCTGCGCATCAAATGTGGGGATAGCCTCGCATTTAAGCTTAAACCGTTTCAGTTCTTCAATTTCAACAGTCTTGCTAGCGCTGAGCTCAGTCAATGCCTCACGACAGAATACAGCCGCTGAAACTGCAAATGGAATGTAATCTGTGATGCTATTAAAGGTGTTCTTAGCGCGTTGCACTATCCTTCGCGCCATGTCCTCCGCTGGACCACTTTTTGATTGAAACGACAGTGACGTGTTGACACATGCTGCGATGTCGTCGACGTACAAGTTATCGTGCACGCCGTCCGAAAATAATAGACAAACATCACCTGCTTCGTATTCGAAAATCTGTATATCCACTTCTGCTGCATAATTAATGGATTGGTTGCTAGAAACCACAGCGGGCACATTAAAGTCGTATATAATAGAGTCGCTTTCGTACACGAGCTGAGGTCCGCGAAACACGACGCACTTACAGTCACCAATTGAATAAACAAACATTCGACGCGAGGTCTCATCAAAGTAAGCAGCTGAAACGGTTGAATCAAGTCGTCCTTTGCGCTTAGCTAGCTTGCGAGCTTTTTTTATGGCAGCTTGCATACTTTGACTAAAGTCATTTGCACACGGAGGTTGTTCCCGTGAGTGTTTGCGTAACTTCGCTAACGCCGTTAAGGTCTCAGCCACCAACATTCGCGCCAGCACGCCCGACGCCTTCATGGTACCGGACACACCATCCGCTACCACCATGTAGCTTGGTCCGAAGCCGACAGCGTCGTCGCCATGAAACGAGTGTGTGGCACTTCCCACTGACGAAAAGCAGCCGCGCAACTTGCTATCACCAATCTCGTTATGTGCCTTGCTTGATCGCATGCGGTCCAGTAGGTAGTGTGCAGCATTTAAAACCATTTCAAGTCTACCAGTTAGTATGGGGTGACGCTAGGTAAACAGGAAATGAACGTTTAGACAAGCGCGTATGGCGGCCTTCCGGTTTTTGCGCTCCCCATCCCATGCCGATGATGCGAAGCTGCGACCTGAGCACTAACGGTCGGCAGCGCATACTGTATGTATTTCGGTAGTTTTTATAGCTCTGCATACTTTATGTCTTTCTGAGGTCAACGGTAAAGCCGCGCTTAATGCTTATTTTTTACAAAAACTTCACGAATAGTAAGGCCTCATGCCAATAAATTCGCACGAAGATTGTGTAAGCTCATCCGATTTCTCAGATGTACATATTTTAGTATTGCCTAATCGTCCTTCGCGGTGCCGACGCAACGAAACCTCTGGCACCTTTTGAGCGTGGCCCTAGCAATATCGCGCCAAGCTCAAGCTTCGATGTCTGGCCATATGAATTATTACTTTAGCTGTGCATAAAAGCTGACGCAGAGTACCGCATCGTCGTTAGTCTACTCATATGTACGATGCCAAAAGTCTCTCTTGAGATGACGTTCTTTGAAAAACTCGATTGTTGTATGACCAGATGGGATGTGTAGCTACAGAAGCGAACGGCGTCTTCTTCGAAGAACTCTAGTGTAACGTTGTAAACCGACTTTCCCAACCATGTCAACAGCACGAAGTTAGTAAGAACAGTACAGCATATACATTTTTATTTTCCGCTGATCAAGCTTTGAAAAAGAATCGTTTTGGGAAGCTAATCAGTACATCAGATCTTATCAGATTTGTAGTTAGGCGCTTTTCGGTAATCACTTTATGGATCTGCACCATCATTTACAGCACATGTCCTTGATAAAAAGCCCGAGTCATTACGGATTAGTACATTAGTCACATTTAGCCTGTATCTCATTCTCTCATTGGGTACAACGAGATGGAAATCTTGTCACTTGCAGTTTACTTGACAGACCGCGTTCCGACCAGTCACCCATATTGGGCAATTTCTCACAATGCGAAATGCTCTGCATAGATCTCCGTCTGTGACTTGAGCGAGAATTCTCAAAACTTAGCCAAAGTGCTTTGCCAGAGAAAGCATTGAGATTACATAAGCCATAGTCAAGTCTGTGACATCAGCTGAAGTAACCAACATAAAATCTTCAGGAAGTATGCCTCACAGCAGTTGCTCTGCCGGCTTGAAAGAGCACCTAGGGAATTTCTCAAGCCATGAATATGATATTAGAAATTTAGATTTTGAATATTTCCGGCGAGAAACATTTGCCGAGGAACCATCAATACTACAGAGAGATATCACTGCCTTTTTTTAAATTTAGCGGAAATCCGGTCTTTTTTTGTTTATTGATACCCATTGTCGTCTTCCTGTCTTGAAAATCCATTATCACTTTGTGCTGAACAAAATACTGTTTTGAAAATAAATCTTAATTAACCCGATTGTATCTGTATCAGTGATGGTGATACCACAAAACTTTTTTTATTTTTGCATAAAACTCGGTATAGTGCAAAGTATCGCTGGAGTAATTTAACTAATTTGCTCTGCTTTCTAGAAAAAATTTCGATAGCTTATAAATAAATCATCACGATATATCAAGATATCCACGAAGTTCGACCATTTTTATCAGTATTGGTAGTTTGGTACTTGAAAACAGTCTCAGTGTCACAAAGCTGTAATGTGATTGATGCACTATTGCAAGAAAGTATATAGGTATCGACACAATAAAAATGTAACGGGGTTATACGTACCCTGGTAACAGGGGTGTGTATTACACGAGATGTGCATGGTGTGACCACACCCAAGCAAGAACACGGTACGGGGCTAGGTAGCCAGTAGTTATGCATGTATTTAGATTTTACTATATATATTTAGTATATTCAGGAAAATCTAAGCATTTAAAATTAGGCGGCTCTGCCGCAGATAAGAATAAATATTTATTAGTTTTGGATTTCAAACGGAAGAGCTAATTAGCCTTGGGTAAGGCAATAATTACTCTTGGAGTAAGCGGAT